AAACCTCCAAGAAAAATGAACATATTATAATAGAAAAACCAGCACAAACCACCGATAAGTCAAATAAGCTTAAACCTCCTTCTCCATTTGTTTCTACAATACCCGTAGGAAAAATTAATTTTTACATTAATTCGAAAATTGTTGGTACGTCTGTCTTGTTTTTGAAAAAGCCCATATAATATAACATATTCTACATTTTAGACTATACAAATTTTCCATTAAAACACATGCCAATGCCAAAAAAATAATATGTAAATAAACCATCTTCACCGTGTATGCATTTGTCACGAAATCGTTTAGTGGCAAACACAGTATTTCATACGTCCACACGTAGTTAAACGTACATTGATCGACTTTTAAAGTTTTATAATGCAAAAAAAAATTGTTCATCTTGTTTTGTTCAAAAAAAGACCAGTCGCTGGCTTCCTCGTTTTTTGCATTATTTTCATGCAAATGTTTCTATTGAATGCAAAATCCAAGTATCCCGTTAAAGTGTTGAACGATATACTCACTCACACCGGATGGCTTGAATGGCACCAAGAAGACAATGTGCATATTATAGACTTGGCAAACAATGAAAGAATCGGTACAACTAGTTTACTCGCACCTAGTGATGACGGACGGATTGTCACTAACGACAATGTAGACCAAAAAATTCGACAAGTACACCAGTTTTTAAGTTGTAAGTACGCCAAGGTATTGCAAGAATTCTGTGATTACGAGAGGGGTATTGGGCCGGAATGTATGAAAATGGACAATCCATCTGAATTATTGGTATGTTTAGAAGATTTGCTGGAAACGCTTAAAAAATCGGATTCACTTGTTATTCCTATGCAAGGTTCGCTTTCGTACTTACACCAGTTATCTTCGCGAGCTTCCTTCGAGAAGGGAGTATTCCAAATCCTAGAGGGTTACAAAAATTATTTAGAAAACATACCTTTTGACAGGGACTCAATTACTACCGGATGTGATGAAACTATTATCTTCACCGCAGCTAAACAGCTGACTGAATCTATCGAAAAAGAAATGTCAGAACACTTAGAACGATTGAGTAAATTTTGTAGCAGATTTTGTTGGCCGATTCCCGATGACGATAATGCTTTCCAAAACAAGTTGTCCGTACACGCATGGCACGTCCAAAGCATTAGCGGATCCGACGTACCTGATATGGTAGTGTATCGGCTCAGGTATCACATAAAGGGGATAATTCAATTGTTTTTAGAATCTTTTGACGGGCGTTTCGGTTTTAAATATAATATGGAGTCAAAAATGACTACATTAATGTATGATCCAGACCTGGTACGACGAGTAAAACGAATGAACAAGCTTCTTGGACACGATGGCTGGCCGGCGTTGAATGATTTAGAAATCATAATGTCACAGAAACATTGGGAAACCGTGCAGCAATTCCTAGCTAAGGTGGATGGGAAAATTGTCACCAAAGCTAACGTAGACGAAAAAGTTCAACGAGCCCATCATTTTTTGACCTGCAAATATGCTTTAACGTTAAAGAGGTGGTGTGATTATGTGGTACTCATATGGAAACAATATAGCATGGATTTGACCAATTCATCGATCGACCGGGAACAGGTCGTGAATATATTAAGGATGAGCATACCGTTGGTCTCGCGTATGCAAGATGCGCTTTCGCATTTCTATCGGTTATCCCCACACATTAAATACAACACAAACGTTTCCGACTTATTAGAAGACTTCAAAAATTACTTCGAATTTAAAGTTTTTAAGAAAAAAAATGTTTTGACTAAATTTTTACACAAATCAAGTGACAGCAAAATTATTAAAAAAAATCTAAATATCGAAACCGGCATGACCGATATCATACAACGTTTAATCAAATTCTACGGACCAAACTGTTCTCTTTCTAGTAGAATCGAGAGGAACACAGTTTCAGAGGAAATCGTTGACTTCAGCAATCTGGAATATCATATTACAGAAGAAGTAAAACAGTTAATAGTATCTAATTACGATGTCTTTGGATTTCCATTTGATACCCGTAAATTTAAAAATAAAGGTATCGTGGAGGGTTAGGTTAGGGTTGCATAAAAAGTTAATTCATTTTTAATTTTATTGTTTAACGATTTCTATGGACTAACTGTACTGGTCCTTCTATTTAATTCTTACTTCATTACATTATGCACAGGTTTTTATTTGTCTGAAACCAATATATCTTATACACACACCGCAAACTAGTTTCATTGATTAAAATTATATTTGTTTGATCATAATATATTTCTTGACCGTTTTAACTGATTTGTTATTCAAATATAATATATTTTTTTTTATACCAAAGTATTTATAACAACATACTTAACCACAGTTATCAGAGCGTATTTTAACTACTGCACAGGTACACAGTCAAGTAGTCGCTCCTAAAATTTCCCCTCATAGGAAAGACATTGGATCATGAATATGTCCTATACTTTTTGGAAACAAATAAACTGAAAAATTATGTGTAGTTGAATAAACCAACTGTTTAAAAAAAAAAACATTAAAAAAAATATCGATATATTTATTCTTTCTGAAGTATAGAATACTTTTACATTGCTCGGTGGCTGGGATGTGGTGTATAATATTTATATAACGTATTGCAAAACAATTTTAAAATGATGCGATTGATATACTTGCATTAACATTTAATTGCTATTTATATTTAAAAAGTTATTAGTTTCAACGTTATTTATAAACGTACCATGCGAAATACTAACTAGTGGCTTACAATAGCTGCAATATAAAATGTAATTTTGAACATGAATGTTTTCATCGTATCGTGTAAAGACCACGTCGATGCATTTGTTATTCCTAGTGGTTAAAATCGACGGATTATTGTTATGTTACAAGTCAAACTCTTCCTTCCTAAGTAAATGACATTCCAGCAGTGTTTGGGCAAGTTTGGCTTTAATATATTATTATCTAATCTACCATATATATATATAAAATCCTAACGTCACGTGACGTCGTATTATACGTGATAGAAAGAGAATAGGTTTTAAAAATCGTTTTAACTTTGGAGACATCGAAAAATATAACTAGGTCGATTCTTAAGACGTTGTTATTGTGTTGAATATATTTCTTATTTACTGCATTGGTGTCTGACTAACAGGTAACTGTTTGATCAAGCGGAAATAAAGAAAATAATTCCCACCCTTTTAGGAGAAAAAGGAAAGGACTTATGATGAATTTTTCCGGGAACACTTTCTAGAGAAACCAACTTAATAAAGATTTTTTACTAACATAACGATTTCTTAAAAAGAATGTATAATTATTTCAAAGATAAAAACTACCTAACAAAGAGGCGAAATGTAAAGTTTATTTATGTTAATAATTATTATATAAAGATTTAGTGTTAGAGATAACATAACCTAAATGGAGTGGCTAAATGAAATATCCTGGCTGGCTAATCACATTGGTATTGGCTTGTATACCAATATACGTATAATATTCAAATATAGTATACATATAACACAGCTTGTTATTATTATACTATATGTTAATAATGTTGTTATTTAACTCCTATTTATTTTTACTTTTATAAATTTAAGCATAGGTTGAATAGCATAAAACTGTGATTTTCGATAAAGTAGAGACAATCGTGTCGAATTTTCAGCAAATTATTGCTTCAAGGTCAAAATGCTTAAATGATCTTTTTTTTTACAACATTTTATGAGCTTTATTTTTGTATACCTTCTTTTTATCCGTATAATTAATAGAAATTGAGAAATTTCGATTTTTACAGCCTTTAGGTCGCTGTCCGTAATCAAAGCGTACCACATATCAATGGGGACCTTTTCGGGTTTTCCGGTTTTGGGGTAGAAGGAATTGACTTTTGTAACATCTGACCTGCCGAAGTACTAATCGCATACCATCGGTCCAGGAAAAAAGTTTGCTTTACTTAAACCTAACCGGATTCACATGCGTACTTAGTACAGCCAGTAGTTCTTTCAAACAAGTTTGAGCTAATTAAAAGTGACTCTTTGATTTGATTGAGAAAAATGTAAATATAAGTCCAGCTTCGATGTGTGGAGCTGAGATAGTATTGTTTCATTTATTTAATTTTTTATGTTTGTTTAAGCTTATATTTTTTTGAACCACTGAACTGTTTTTTTCAGGGATTAAGTCAATAGATCAGAAATCGGACAACTCATTTGGGCCAAAAAAAGATTATCCATTCACATTGCAAATCGAGGAAAATCAACCAAAATATTACACATTTTTCAATAATTATAATTTTAAAAAGCCAAATTGTATGAAATATTATTCAGATAGGACACTATCGATAAACGTTTACAGTGTATGTATATGTATAATTTGCACACGAGTAAATCGTTTTTAAAGCGAGTATAGTAAGTACTTCTAGAAAAATAACAGCAAGAGAGTGCTTATGTTAAAAATGACAAACAACGCAAACAAGAACGTTCGTAAGCGACTCTTGTTTACAGTGAAATCGCACAGCCTAATAGTTCAAACTTGAAACCGTTTTCATTCCTCAAGTATATTTTCTTATAGGAAGTCTTGCGGTAATTCAAAACGATGCACTACAAGTTATAAAATCGCCATAAGTACTATTATCGAATAGTTTCAAAATAGTTTTTACTTCCAAAACTAATAGTTCTGAATATTCTGAATCCAAGTTTAATAATTTGAAAGTTCGTAATGAATCCGAAAATTAATAGCGTACTGTTTTTCTGCGTGGCATTATACTTTTTGCAATGTCAGGGTGCCCGCATAACTGTCGAAGAACGTGTAAGTAAAACAAACACTTTATTATTATTTACGAACACATTTATTTACACTTGCGAACAATACAATATAATAACAGTAAGGAAAAATGCATTAACTACTATGAATTCAACGTTAGTAGGCTGGAAAAACCGCAAAGCATAATATATTTCTGGTAGTTTGGCGTTTTGATTTTAATGTGTAAACAATAATATAAATTTTAACGTCTAGTTCTTCTACTAAAAATAATAGGCAATTATACGTGGCGTAGTCATGGAATATGAAAAGCAGGATGGCATATACAAGCCAGAAGATGGCGATGTGACCATAACCTTGAAAGGTGTAGAGACTGTATTGAAGAAGTAGAAAAGCGACTCCAAACATGCAAAATACTTTATAGTGTTGCTTTTTTGAAAGATATATTATCAAGTAATAAACAATAGACAAATATCAAATATATTTATTAAGTAACATTTTCAAAAAATATTGACAAGACCTTTTAATAATCAAGTTTGTCGTTTGTATAGCTGTAAATTCTTTTATATTTTTAACAAAATGCCAGTTAAAAAAATTAGAAAACAGGAGGATTCTTTTTAGTTCCTACAAAAAAAATATATATATAAGATACATGATTATTTTTTTAAACAAATTTATAAATTTTAACAAAACTGTACAATTTAGTATCACATTATTATTTTTATAATGTTACACATTATTATTTTCAATACCTTTTAGGTAAAATTGTCCTAGTTTCATTATTTAAAAAATGTGCAATCATTTGATTTTTTTTTTAATTCAGAGTATACATTCACATTCAACGAAATTAATAAGTACATAGAAAAAGCCCTACAATATGGTTCATTAGCAAATACTGGAATAAAAGTAAATAATAAACCATTTTAAAGATGAAATACTAATTAAGTTGTATGTGCTAGGCCTCTTGAAATATTGTATGTTTCAGCTATTATTCTATATAAATTAGGTTAAAATTAATTTTGTAAGATTCTTGAAGATTTGTACAAAATGTAAATTATTGTTTCGAAAATTAATGTTACGCTTGATAAATATTTTTTAAGTTATTTTTCAGTTTCATTTTTTTTTAAATTTAAATATCTTTTTGGATCTTGAACAATATGTCTTTTTCTTTTAAATTAAAAAATATATACATACTTCCTACCAGTAAAATTGATAAAATTTCAATAGTAAATTATTTGGCTTATGATTTTTTATACATAAAAAATAACATCTTTTGAACGATATCTTGCAGATTTTGCTCCAGAAGGGCAAAAATTAAAAAAAAAAAAGATTATTGTTTTTCCTCGTATGAAAAGAAGCTTGAATTGATATGTAATTGATATGATTATTTATTTTTCAGTTATAATTTGATCGTTGTGAATACAACATATCTCTTATCTCTAATCTCTTACCAGATAACAGCGTAACGCTTTTTATGTAACGCTTTTTTCGATTACGTGCCAGAGCAAACCACCCCCCCCCCCCACCAACCCCATTCCATTTATAGTATTGTACTGTTATCTCCTATCTCTTACCACTATCTCATAACTCCTATATCTTACCTCTTACTCTATCTCATATCTCTTTTAACGCACTACACTACTTTATTCTTAAAATAATGGAAAATTTGTTGTTTCTCTTTTTGAAAACTTTGTAATGTCTAGTTTTTATTCTAAAAACAATAGATGATGCTAGCAACACTATTTGTAGAATATGAAAAACCCAATGGAATAAACTTTGAAGAATTAAACAAACTGATTATTGATACGAACTTGTTTGCCAATTATCCATTTCAGTATCTTGATAGACCAAAAACGGCAATAGCATACAAAATGAATAAATCGGGTAATAAACAATATAATAATTATAACCAATAAATGTATAGAGTAAAATGATCAAAACCATTGAAAACCATTGTAGTAATGAAGTTTGTTATTTGTATTGCTGTAAATTACAAATATTTTTTTACTAAAAAAACACAATTCTCGGACCAGACAAAATATTCAACAGCAGGAGTCCGCCACCCTAACTCTCCTTTGCTATACGCAGACGACTTTACTATCACATGCCGTAGCTCCAGTAGTACCACTATACAACAACTTCTGCAAGACTCAACTAATGAACTCATATCATGGTCTAAAATGTCCGGCTTCCGTTTCGCTCCGAAAAAAACAAGTCTTATACTAATCAACCAAAGAAAGAAAAAAAAAACCATTTCAGTAAACATTGGCTCCCACTCTATCACGAACAAAACCCAAGTAAAAATTCTCGGAGCGATTATAGACTCTAAAGCTTCATGGCTACCTTACATTCGACACCTCAAAAAATCTTGTATCCCTAGAATCAACATAATCAAAACACTCTCTCACACCTCCTGGGAAGCTAATACTGGTACCCTACTTAAAATTCATAAGACTCTTATCCTTTCCAAAATTGACTACGGAGCCCCCCTTTTTTCAACATCCAAATCATCAAACATAACATCCCACATCAAAATATTAGATCCAGTACACAACACCGGGATTCGTCTATCCATTTTAACTCCATCCATTCATAACAATTGTTGGTGTACAAAATGAATAAAATACATGTTAGATATTATATGAACAGTATTTTTTTTTATTTTTTGAACTTTACTACAATGTAAAATTTTAATTTACATTATTATTCTTCAGCCATAATAATTTTAATTAAAAATAAATTGCAATTGTATCGAATTTCAAATAACTCAGTTGCTATTAAGTTGACCGGATTGGTTTGTTAAAAAATGTATAATATTATTTTGTACTTGCAGAATACAACTTTACTAGGAAAGAAGTTGAATACATCGTCATTGATTATTATTTTCCAGGACAGTTTTAATAACTATTAACTTTTATTAAATATATGATATATTTATGTGTGTAGTTTGTCACATACAAATGTAGTTTTGATTAAATAATAAATCTTTTTGTTCTAATATTTTGATAGAATTTATTTGATTGCTTTAAGTATAAGCTGGTACACGTTTAAATTTGCGTTGCGTTTTTATTTTACAAAATGAAGTCATTCAGTGACCGATTCTAGTGTGTTATAGCGACCAGATCACGGCCTAAGCTAATTTTTTTTCAACTGCTTATTCTCAATTTATGAAATAAAGCGATCTCTTATCAATACTAACAACATGGATTGTGATTTGCTAGTCTTTCAATACATGACGTTTAAGAAATTAATCAAATTTTTTTTTTTTTTTTACTCTAGTTACATGTAAAAATATTATTTGTTATGTTATTTTTACAGTTATACCTAATATTTTATTATTGTTTATCCGAGTATACGCATTTTGGCGGAGTTTTGTTAACATAATTGTCCTGTGTTACCGTTTAGGGTCATAATTTGTTAGAGCTTTGAATAATCTTAAAAAAGTTAAATATTTAGTAATTTCATAACATTGTGATATAACATAAACAATATTTTTTTTAAATAAAAAAAAAACTATGAAATTTCAATAATTGTACTAATCATTATTTGAAAAGATATTGAGTGTCCTACGTTAAATGTATCACCCTGTACATACCGAAAAGGCGTTTAGTTGCTACGAAAAATAATTGATTCCGCCAATAAGCTTAAAGCGGTTTTTTTGTGACCCAAAAATAAATGTTATTGGGAAACTTGTGTTTGATCAAATTTGTCATGAACATTATGACCTATGTGTGCTCGTGTCTAAAAAGCTAACACGGAGCGCTGACTGTAAACCATAAAGTGAGCAGCACTATTTACGACTACTACATGTGTAAAAAAAAATTAGAATAATATAAAGAAATGAAGGTTTTAGGAACTATAATATTAACGAAAGTGATAAAATAATTTTCGAATAAACGCGCATTGACCGTAGGAATACCAAATATCAATAAAAAAAAATTGTTTAAACGGTGTCTGGACCTTCGACTTAATATTATATTCCATGACCAATCCTTATATTACATATAAAATTGTCTCAAATATCTGTGGCCAGATGTGGTCAGAACCTAAATTAAGGGTTATTAATTTAAGAGTGAATCCCTTTCTGTTATAATAATAATTCCTGTAGTTTGTAGACCCGTGACCTCCCCGTACTCACTAAGCCACGACTCCACTGCTATGGCTTTTTTTTATTGGTCCACATTTAATTTTGATTGTTACTATACCGATTTACTTGATAAGCACCTCTGACGATTACACTTTGGATGACGAGGTTGGTGATAAAGCTTTAATATGTTAACTTATTTATCTTTAAATTTAGAAAACCCGAAAGAACCGAATTATTGAACATATTATTAAGTTTTTGAAATATATTTTTTCACGTGGTATAAATTGTAAAATAAGAACAGGAAAATGTATTTAATATACATATAAAATGTCATCACTATGAAACCCTGTAAATTAAATAATCTAATTAAACTTCATAAGTTAATAAAAATACAGTTCCTATAAACACATTTTTAATTTTATTACATATATTCAATAAATTGAAACCAACAAATCTAAAAATAACAATAACAATGGATTTTACCTAAAAAAGTGGACTGTAACGAATCACGCCTATAAGTTAAAACACATGAACGTGCCATTTTTAATTTATTTTAAGACAATTTTTAAACTGGTTACTATTTAAAAAATAAAAATAAATGTTGAAACGTTATTTAATAGGTGTAAACAGATTATGTAAAACGTTATCTGATCATCATGTTCTCGTTACTGAATTTACTATCTTAGGTATTAGGAGTAATATAGGTAGTTTCGTTTGTCATCGCGTTGTATCGAAAACCAAGGCGGTCCAAGTGCTCGCTTATATATCCAATGTAAGAATTCAGAGTGCTTATATAATAATCGTAGAGGTTAATTATGGTATTTGAATTTCTATATTCAGCCAATAATACCTCTATATTGACCACACTGTGTGCAGGTTGACAGTCAGTGATTAAAAGGATCTCCAACGAATCCGCATAGAGCATGATAGGCCAGTTAAGCTGTTGCATCTGGAGACATGGTTGAAAGCTTGCCATGGTTTCATGAAATGGACTTGGAACGACACTCCTGTCGAAAGATTGGAGTACCCTTAATACGCCAAACAATTTTGACAAAACGGACGCAGCTATTGCGGCACTAGCTCTCAGCTTACTCCAACAAACATCAGCGACAAATTTTGGTGAAATCCTACTACACTCATCGATTGTATGAGCCATTAATCTGAGGAAGTCATTGAATTTTTGTCCGTAACTGCATCCCATCATGTAAGGTATAGTTCTCAACCTATCTAATGACCTGAAACTTGAACTTGGATCATAAAACCTAAGTTTCTTTGTCCAGTGCAATCCGGTTCTGACCTTATCGAACCACATTTCTTCCCAATGCTGTTGTCGACAAATATAGTTGATATGATCTATTTCAGCCATGTGTAGTCTACCGTTACACCTGGTATCGTTTTTTATGCATATAATGGCTAACGCAATTAAAAACTTAATAATGACATTTTTTTCCATGTTAACCCGTTTGAGCACTAGATTATTTACTTGATAAACCGAATATGACCTGCTTAGTCTATAACAAAAAGGAAAATGCTTAAAATTGATTCTTTTTGTGCCACGTACTAGACGAGTACTAAAAAGGCAAAAAGACACGCACTTTTTGTTTGCCTTGGATAATTTAATTACTAAATGTCATTAAAACGTCAAATTTGTTTATATTATAAGTTTAATATACTGGTACTTTAAAAAGGGCACGTGACAAAGTAGCTAGGTATTTATTATGTACGAACTAGATATAATTAGAAAAAAAACAGCACAGTGCAATCGGGGCGTTGTGAGGTCGAAGCATATTATAGCAGGTGTTTGGGGAGGTCATAAGTCTTTAAGGAAATTTTATACAATTTTATACAAAAATTTAATACATAAAATTGTATTCGACATTAAATTTTGATATTAGACACCATTTGGCACAATAAAATCCAGCACAGCGCGGTTAGGGCGTATTGTGATATGGACGTCACCGGTCTATAGGAATTATTCTTATCTGTAACTGGTACAGTGCAGTGACACATATTATCGCTTACTTTTCTTAAACATATACAGGGAAATCCAACTAACGTCAGACTCTAATTTTCTCGGAAAATATGAAATTTATATTCGACTTATCGTGAACCAATCAATACCTCACTGGTTTTAATTAATAATTTGTTTTCCAAAGTGTTTTTATACTATGTGATCTCAACTTCTCAGAACTATTTGTTTTTACTCCTCTCCCACCTTAGTTTTTTTAAAAGCAACTTTTGCGTTTAAAATGGTAATGCATACATTTCATATACTTTTTAAGCTGAGAATAATGTACTAAACATTTTGACTGGTCGATAACCAGATTTGGGATATTTTTTTTAAAGTTATAACAGTTTAAAAGTTAGGATGGGAGGGGGAGTGTGGTCGGGAAATTCACGCAAATAAATATAACACTACACTCCACCTTTCCTCCTGCCCTAAACTTAAAATTTCAATAACTTCAAAAATAGTTAGTCGAATCAATTTATTCATTCACTCAATTCTCAGATTCCAGGTTGCTACGTTCACCATAGTACTACAAATTTATTTTTAAGCACATAATATTGACATTATGTAAAAATCTTTATATTTTCATCTTGTAACATGGGCTTTCCCTGGATAACTTACTACTAATACTAACTTATGTTTAATCTTAATGTGCTTGGTTTGAACTATACTGATTTGAACCTACTATCCATAATTTCGCATTGTAGCGTTTATTTAAGAGCGATTTTATCACTTTCAGTTATA